AATTCTAAGATGAACTTTCTTCAGACTCGCTCATTCACGGATCCATTAATCTAGCTTTTATTGAGTGCTTACTGTATACAGGGACCATGTAAACACTTCCTTCTCTAGACAGGCAACCTTTCAAAGGTTAAAGGTTAAAGGACAAAGAGATGCATGTTCATCTGCAGTCCACTGCTTATCCTAAAGCATCACACCAGGATCGACTTTTAGAACTATGAGCCTCTTAGCCCAAATCTTCTGCTTTCTTTTTATTTCCTAATAGTTTAATTTTCATGTTTGAGGATGAGAGCTCTAAGCAAGAGGTTTCCTATAGCACTAAAATAGACCCCCCACCAAATCCTCAGATACAATGAGCTATGATTACACTGCTTTTTGCCAGAGCTTCCAGAGATGTGTGAAAATATTTATAAAGTTGGGGGTCATGTTCAATATGTTCTCTTTGTTTTTGTCTTATAAGTGTAAAACAGGAAGTTTTCCCATCTCAGCAAAATGAGATCCTACTCTTAAAAAGGTTTCATCTTAGGAACAATGAACCAAATAGTCTTTATTCCCTTGCATATTGTTTTAGCTTCAGAGGAAGATAATAAGGGACCATTGTCTCAATAATTTTTATAGCTTTTGTAGTAAATAGTTTGGAGAAAATAATACACTTCTTCATTATTAACAATGATTTGATTATTGTTTGATTATTTATATTATTAATTACACAATAAATTATTGGCTAATTATTTGTTGTTGTTAAGTGCCTTGGAGTTGGTTCTGACATATAGTGACCCTGTATAGGGTTCCTGAGGAGCAGCTGGTGAATTTGAACCGCCAACCTTGTGGTTTAAACCAACCTTGCAGTCCAGTGCATTATCATAAAGCACCACACCAGGACAACTGGCTAATTATTGTTGTTGTTGTTGTTAGGTGCTATTGAGTCAGTACTGACTCATAGCAACACTATGCACAACAGAACAAAACACTGCCCGGTCCTGGGCCAAACTCACATTGTTGCCATGCTTGAGCACATTGATGCTGCCATACTGCCAATCCATCTTGCTGGGGGTCTTGTACCAATTATTAATGGATGTTTACAGCTGTTTCTCTTCATTTTGAGTTGTGCCCCATCAGCAAATGAAGGTCCCATGGGCTTTACTCCTCCGGGCTTTACACCATTCGTGTCATCACAGTCAACTCTACTTTGAGGAGGCAGCTCTTCCCCAGTTGCATTTTGAGTGCCTTCCAACCTGAGAGGCTCATTTTCCAACACTATATCTGACAGTGTTTCTCTGATAATTATTAGGTTTACATAAATAATAATGAATTTATTGACTAATAAATTATGGTGGATAAAAAAAGCAATCTTTTAATAATTAGCTTTTATGATAAATCTAAGGAAACTTCCATCTAAAGAGGGCAGAGGGCCCTCCCACAGAGCCATCATCATTCTGCTAGTCCCAAGCAGGTATTTAGGAAGTACTGGTTAAATGAACAACTGTTGTTCTATCTTCATGTTTCTGTCATTTATCCTTGTTACTGCTCTTGGACAGTCCCTGGGTGGTATAAATGGTCAATGCACAAGCTGCTAACCAACAGGTTGGAGGTGTGAGTCTATCCAGACGCATCTTGAAAGAAAGGCCTGGTGATCTGTATCCATAAAGATTGGTGGTGGTGGCTCTGTGCCGTGGAGTCGGTTCCGACTCATAGTGACCCTGCACAGGGTTTCTGAGGCTGCGAATCTTTATGGGAGCAGAAAGCTTCATCTTTCTCCCATGGAACAGCTGGTAGTTTCGAACTGCTGACCCTGAGGTTAGCATCCCAATTCATAACCACTATGCTATCTTAAAAATCAGCCACTGAAAACTCTAGGGAACACAGTTCTTCTCTGACACACACGGAGTCATCATGACGTAAGGTTGACTCCATGGCAACTGGTTATTTTTCTTGAACAAGATAGC